ATAACTGCTGTGAAACCTATCTTCACGAAAATCATTGAACATTCCACAGAAGATTTATTTCTTCGCAGTTCTGAAGATTTTATTTTATTCTTCTTTCCGCATCATGAAGCCCCAGGGATAAATAAAATTCTTCAAAGAGGGATTGATTTCGCAACGTGGTCACAGTTCAGACTCGGAAACTCGCCCATTTTTGGCTATTTGGTGATTTGATATCTGTCTCATTTCTTTTTATATTCAATGTGAGGATATACGAAATGCTGAGCAGCGCATTTCTCACTATGGGTCGTTATTTCATGTGAGCTTGAAAATGGTGGAACCTGTAGCCTCTAGATTGTAACCATTTGTATATCATGCATGTTTACTGAATGAAATTTTGAAAAATAAAAGTTCCAAGTAATACTGCTGATTCTTGGAATACATTATTTCAGGAATTAATACAATTATTTTTAATTACGTGATTGGGTCCCACAACTTGAGAATTTACATTATTTTAAAATTATAAAATGTTAAGTATTACTATGTCAGCTTTTGTCGAAGTTCTGATTGCATGTGTTAGAAGGAAAATACCTGAGCTCTATTCTCATTGGATGGGAATTACATGTAAGGGAAAGGGGAAACAGGAGAGAAACAGAAAATAAATATTATATTACCTCTTATATTATGTTACACTAATAAGAGAAAACATTTCAGGGAAAAGAAGCGTTATATAAAGACCATCAGGTTTCTGAAGCTAGAAAACGTGAGAAATTTGTGCTTTTGCGGTTTTTTTATACAAGAAATATAGCGAACTCTGACATCTGCTTATGTGGGGAACATGAAACTGCTGATTATTATATTTTCTCATGCACTCTAGCTGAGAATAATCACATTAATTCTCTATAAAATGATTTCCTGTCATTTCAAAGGTTTTCTGTATTGAAACTATATTGTAATCTCTGTCATCTCTGTAATGAAACAATATTGTAGTCTCTGTATTGAAACTATATTGTAATCTCTGTAATCTCTGTATTGAAATTATATTGTAGTCTCTGTAAGTCTTAAATTATTATATTGAATAAACACGGGATGCGGGGTGTACAGTGGGATTCCATGACGTCCACTTCGAAAAAAAAATGAGACAGTTTTATATCTCCCGTTCTACTGGGCCATCTTGCGTTTTTCATGTCTCGAAAGCGCCACTTAGGATATGTATTACATTTATGCACAACATTGTTCTAGCATAGATAATTTGATACAAAATCGGACTTTCACTGAAAAGACATACCCTTTTTTTCCATATTTCGATTCTACGACTCAGATTATGTCAAACTGCCAAGTTTTGCAAAAATCGGGCGAGTAATTTTCTAGAACGTTAGCTTTTAAAATTTTAGCTCCTCCTTAACGTGGTCGAATTTGATATATATATCTATATATTTATATCTCCTTTTATTAAACTTATTTGATTTTTTTCTTTCGTATTTCGAAATTTAGGTCCATTCCAAATAAAATTCACCCATTTTTTATGATTTATTTTAAAATGATTTTTATAAATTTTCCGAAAACAAAATTTGAATTCTAACCTATATAATTTTTGCCATCATCTTAAAGTAGATGTATTTCTAAGCATACATGCAAAAAATTAGATTTTTTTTATTCAAAATTTCTTAAGATATACGTGTATCATACACAGTTAAACTCTAAATCCTTTGGAAAGCTTCAGTTGCTCATTTCCTCAATGTTTCTTTGTAAATTCTTATAAAACTTGCAATTTAAGAGGTAGTTATTACGAGAAGGTTATTAGGTCTTATTTGACCCAGGAAACATCGTTTCTGGTGTTCCTTCATATTTTTACACATACCTGTCCGTTTGATGGGATTTGAATCTCCCGTCTTGAACGAAGCTGGTAGAACATTTCTATTTGGTGGTTGTTCAGAGAGAATTATGACGTTTAATTTTAAAACTGCAGACGGAAGTAGGACTCAGATTCTGTATGAAATGATTAAGTGGATTTTCAGCGAGATCTCCTCCTTTTTCCATCGTTCGATGGTAGCCAACTTTCAAGGTCAACGGTATAATTCGTAAGTACCTAAAATACTCATGTAAATACTCTTCTAAAAGGACATACAATGAAAACACCGCATTCATCAGAAATATATTATCTCTTTGTCTGATAGTAACATCAGAACAAGCCCACGAAATTCATCGTGGCAAAGAGCTCAAAATTGCGCCTGTCGTTGGCGTGTGTCTTGAGTACCCTACAGGTAACAGTACGCTCAGTTCCGCCCCACCCCAATTTTGATGGAGAGCACCCCGGGGGAACGGGTCTGAGAATCTCCCACCTCTCTTCCCTTACTACAAATTCTCGAGGGAACTTTCCGCTCGCCGCGTATCTAGAGTGCCCGCATGCCGCTCAGACGTTATACATTTACAAACTTCCATGCCTTCTCCAGGATTCGAACCCAGTCCCTTTGGTACGGCAGTCAACATCGCAAACCACTCTCTGGGTTGGGCAGCAGAAGGAAAATAAACAGCAGCATAAATTTAACCATATTTTTTTCAACGGTGTTTATATGTTATTAATCAATGAATATGTGAAATAGTTTTTTGAAAATAAGTCATTCCCATGGCTAAATTTTTTAAAAAAAAATTACACACCATTTCAGACAACGTTACACATTCTGCTTTTCAGAAATCCTTTAAAAAACAGTGCTAGTTTTAAGATTAGACTTTGTCACTTTGTCAACAGCTCTGTAGCATGGAGATTCACAGCATAATTTCATTTTTGTGGCAATCGGCTTATAGAGAAACTTTAGATATCTGGGCTTATTCTGTGATTTCCTTTTCGGCGCAGTTATGTGACTGTTATTCACCGAAAAAAAACCTTCGTATGGTTTTTCTATTAAAGAAGGAACACAGAAGCTTCACCCTTGAAAACTCGACTTGAATAGTGTTGGAGTTTAAACAATTTAATTCGATTCAACGCTGTAAGTTAATAATAATTTAGTTCAAGAATAAACACGGAAACTTCAGTCTGGAGAACACGACCTTAAAAACGTTAAATGCATAATCCCACACCATGATCTTTATAAAGATCTACTACATGGATTAGTCTACTTAGTATTTTAAAGAACAATGTTGAACATTTTGGGCGTAGCAACTTAAATTTTCATTAGTAAGTTTTTGGACTTTTCCATGACACTCCGTTTTGTTAAACATTCTAACAATGGAATGTTCTACTCAAAAGCACAAAATTATGATTCATAATTTTTTAGGCCATAAACAGCAAAAAAAGCTTATTGTTCAAAACAAAACAGACCTTACTTTAATTAGAAAAAATAATAAAATTTACAGATCTTAGTGATACTCATTATTTGAAAAGCAAATTTAATTAGTTTTTTTTTTTTTTTTTGGTCCTTTTTTCAGCAAAAATAAATATTGTACGAAAAACATTTGCACTCAAGCAAACATCAGAGAAGAGTTAATATGTAAAAACGAAAACTTTTACACTTAAGGCAAATATTTAACCAAATTAAAGAATAAAAGCATTGTTGAATACTGGTAATTAAATTTTTTTTTCTACCCTTAATAATAATTTTATTCTTTTATTGTGTAAAATGTTAATATAAAAATACGTTTTATACTTTCTTGATAGTGCAAAATGTTTATTACTTACTTAAGACGTGCGTAGAAATATGCTTTTATGGTAAATATTGGTGCAGGTATAATGATATTTATATTTTTTATGTTTCATTATATAACGTTATGTAACGCTGCCCAACCGGTATAGGAGTTAGTATCACTGACTGCCGTGCCGGATTTGAATTCCGGAGAAGGCATGGATGTTTGTAAATGTATAGTGCCGGTGCAGAAATGAACTCACGATTATTGCATCGAAAATGATTTATTGTTTCATAATACATAAGATGCTACGCCAAGATGTCAAAATATGATTTTTACCAAAGGAACGAAGGCATGAAGCGTTAGAAAACCCACGGATTTCTTTTTAAGTCCATATAGGAATCAAGGAAATGCTTGGAAATATAAAACTACCATTTTATTGGCCAAGTAAAAAGCGTAAAAGCGATGTGCAAGATTATTATAGCAGTTATCTAGATTGTAAATTAAGATGTCCAGTCCAATCAAGATGTCCATGCGTCGAGTGCCTACTATCTGCTCGAGATTGAAGCTGTCTAAATCAGAAGCTTTACCCATATTAGTAATTAAAACAACTGATTAACAACTACTGTATGTGCATTTAACCACAACGTCCTCACGTGAGCACAAACACTGCACAGCGCTGTCAAATTTGCATAGCCATGTCTATTCCTAATTCAGTGGCACTGTGCTGGATTCAGTGGATTAATGTATAAATCACGATTCCTAGTCAAAATATCCATTTTCGAATTCCCAGGCTTCTTAAATATGCACCGAACTGGTATTTTTTAATTATGGTAAAATAAGTTTTTGTATTTTAATGAGGGTTTAATAAATGCTTTTGGTAAAATTGCAACAGGAACTGTTAAGTTAAACCTTACCATGCAGCGTGATTATTTATAGTCCTTGCGCAACCTTTATTTTCGCAAACTTTGGTTATAAACATGAGCTTAAATGATTCAAATATTCATATTATGGTTTTTTTAAAAGAAAAAAATTATTTTGTAGAAATGAAATTCTTAAATTTGCGCTTACTAATAATCGTTAAGGAAATTTAATTATATATCTCTCCGTCATATCTTTTGCTTGTTTATATGTGTCTTTTGTGATTTGCTTCAAAAGTTGTGTAAGATGAAAAAAAATCATATTGTAAGACTCCCTTGCTTTTACCATCTAGTGTAAAGAATGCCATAACTTCAACTATTGCTAGTTCCTGAAGCATTTGTATGTTTGCGTATGCAGCACGTTAACGTGTGGTTTAGTAACATATGAAATATTAATGTCAAGCGTCATCAAAAAGAATTCTTAGAAGATATTGCAAAGAAATTAAAATGAATTGAAGACATGTTGAAATAATTGATTAAATAAAACTTGTGAAGATCAGGTCTTTATTCTTTTTTCTTTTACAAATCTGAAATTAGAAGCAAAGCAAATACATAAATTATTAATATCAGATATTCCATAGCCCACGGAAATAGATTCCAAATGTTTGCCTGCAGATACATTCTGCATAGTATTTGAAGCAATTTTCTTCATTAAAACATTTCTAGGGTCTATACCTGAAAGGTAAAAATGAAACACGTTTTATGGAAGAAAATTAAATAAAAAGAATTTGTTATTTTCACACTCATACGTCACAACATATACGTATTTTTATGTCTTTAATACATTTGTTATCACGAAAAAAGGCAACAGAAACTGGAAAAATATTTGATTCTTCTTCATAAGCAATTTATTCAAATCATGTTTCAAATATTTGCTACGAACTTGATGTTAAAATAGTGGGTTGTTCGAAAAGTAATTTCGCTTCCTCCGAACAGAGGACTTAAGAGTGTTTTTCACAAAAATTCACACTTAAGCCGCATAATCATTACATATTTTGACAGCTGATATTGCAAGGTTTGCTTGTGAAAAAGTTCGATTGATAGTCTGGGCAGTAATTTTGGTTGACGCCCTTTCAAATATGGATGTGAACCTCAACATTTTAGATATATTTGAATTTTTTACTATCTAAAAGGTAAAAATGCTGTTCAAGGTAAGAAAAAAATGTGCTTGTGAAAAAGTTCGATTGATATTCTGGGCAGTAATTTTGGTTGACGCCCTTTCAAATATGGATGTGAACCTCAACATTTTAGATATATTTGAACTTTTTGCTATCTAAAAGGTAAAAATGCTGTTCAACGTAAGAAAAAAATTATCCGATGTGTAATGGTCAAGACGTATTTGCAGAACGGCAGTGCCAAAAGTGGTTTGAAAAATTTCGATCTGGTAATTTTGAACTTGAAGATGCACCATGTTCTGGAAGGCCAGTTAAGCGCCGTTCCCACTGGGGTTTATCTGAGCTAACGGAGTCAGTTCCCTGTGTCGACTAGCTCCGCTGTGCCTGCAGTTCAGATTTTTCAACTTGCTGCTCTATGGGGAAAAACTGGTTTTGGGGATGGGTAGACTGCGTTAGTTGTGTTCGTTAGCTCAGATAAACCCCAGAGGGAACGGACCTTTAAAGCTGACGAAGACACAATAAAAGCCATTTATTGATGCAAACCGGAGAATAACAACTCGTGAGATCATTGAGAGATTAAATGTTTGGAATTCGATCGTTCATGGTCATTTGGAACGCCTAGATTTAATCTCAAAGCTCGACATATGAGTTCCTCATGTGCTCACGGAAAGAAATTTGTGCTGTCGCATTGACGTTTGTCATTTGCTTCTCAAACGTCAGGAAAAGGATCCATTTCTGAAGCGCATCACCACTGGACTCGAGAAGTGGGTTGTCTACAACAATGTTAAAAGCAAGAGATCGTGGAGTAAAAAAGATGAGTCGAAAGAATGTGATGCTATACATTTGGAGGGATTTTAAAGCAATTGCTTTCTTAAACTTCTACCGCACAACACAACGATCAATTCTGAAGTGTACTGTCACCAGCTGTACAAACTGAATGATTCAATTAAAGAGCTAAGACCAGAAGTAATCAATAGAAAAGGTGTAGTGTTCCAACAAGATAATGCTAAACCTCATACAAGTTTGACAACTTGCCAAAACCTTTTACTGCTTGGATGGGATATATTGCCACATGCACCATATTCTACAGATATAGCACCTTCTGATTATTATTTCTTCCAGTCTCTACAAAATTTTTAGAAGGCAATATCTTTACTTCAAATGATGAGGTCAAAAATCACCTGGATCACTTTTCGCCAAGCAAAGAAAAACATATGAGCGTGGAATCATGCTGCTGTCAGAAAGACGGCAAAAGTTATTGTACCAGAATGGACAATATATAATTCAATAAAATATTTATTCAGTATAAAAAAATCTTCTTTCTTCTTCATTTAAAAAAAAAAAACGAAATTACTTTCCGAACAACCCAGTACATTTTTTTAACGTTAAAATCAGGAGATCTGATAACACAGAATAAAATTTTGGACATAAACCATTTTTTTCAGAATAAATATAAGAAACGTCTATGTTCTCTCAGATAATGCATAAAAAATTTGCATACATAATCAACGCAAATCGCTTCTTTGCAGCAATACAGTATTCACAAGAAATGTTCAAAATTACAACCACCAGCATATCTATATGCTTGATAGCGTCGTGGAAATGTTCGTCGAACACTTTGAAAAATGTTAGGTACTTCGCGTACGCTTGCAACCGCAATAGATATCGACAAAGACCTCCAGCGAGTCAACGGGAGTCTCTTAAATGATGCCCTTCATATGCCCCTATAAAAATAAATCCACGCTGGATAAATCTGGCGAACGGTGTGGCCATCGGACTTGTCCACCGCGCCCAATCCATCGCCCCGCAAAATTCGCATCCAAGTAATTCTTCCGCTGATTCAATCGGGTCGCGGTTTGCCCGGCTCTCTGACGCCCTCTATCCCCCTCATTGCCAGTCAATCACAGCTGTAGTTCGTATTACTGGTCGTTCTTTTACACATTTCTTGTGAATACTATATTTCTGCAAAGAAACACTTTGCTTTGATTTAAAAAAAAAAACTCCCTTATCATCCCTCCCGTGTCAAACTTGAAGCTTGCAATTTAAACCTTCGAAAACTCTTCCTCCCGTGTCATATTTTGCGTTCGTGCCTTAACATGTTACTTTAGACCCTACACTCCTTTACACAAAATGTATGTTTTAGTATGCTGAACCACCCTCCAAGTTTGTCCCATTGATCATACAATCACACAGTATATGTATACATGTAAGATATAACAAAATATGATAGCTCTTTCAAAAAAATAATTGGCGAACTCAAAATTAACATTCTAAATTTGATGATCTGCCCCTAAATTCATCTCTTCTCACAGGTTCGATATTTTTCTGTCTTACGTAACGTTTTAATGCAGATACCTCTTTTCCTATCAAATTAATTGTAAACCAAAACTCTGAACTGAAACTTTTCCAACTCCCACCCTTCTTTCTCTGAAGTTCTATGATACTCTTCCCCTTTTCTGCATAACCTCTCCTGCTGACAAGACGCTTTTCATCCATGCTGCTGCTTACTTGCTTAAGATGACCTCGTACTTCAAATTGGAACTTACTGTATTCAAATATAATTAGGAAACATCTTATCTGAAAAAGGATGGCTTGATATACATAAAAAAATAAAGATTGTGATTTTTCAAGATACGTTGTGCTAAATTGCGTCATCAAGCTTTCCATTCTGCCATCTTAAGGCCACTACGGTCTTCTCGGTCATCTACGCAATATCGTAAGCTGTTAAAAGTTTTAGTGTTTTCATCTACGCATTTTAAAATCATTACATATATATATATAGATATAGATATAGATGGATTCCAAACCATCTTTGTCTTCGGCCTTTAAAGAAATTATGTTTTAGTTCTGGTTTCATCAACAGATGGCGCCACTAGCTTATTTTCTGTCCAGGCTCTCTTATCTTATCTAATCATTATATCCTATCTCGTTCATTTGCGCTTTTGCAGCTGAAGATGGTGGTTCGGTAATACCATCGAAACTAGTCCTGTGAAAATTTGAAAATATAACGCTGATTTTTGTTGTTTGATTTCTGAATTAGTAAGCAGTTGATTGTTTATGTTGCCGGCTCCCAAAAGCCTAAGAGTCAAGAGATTTGCAAAACCACTGAAGGAAAGAGAATGAAGTTCTGAATTGAACAAACCCTTTTTTGTACATAATTATTTATACGGTGAACGAGTCTATTAAAACTGCATTCAGGATTTTGTACTTTTAAAACATAACAGTAACATTTAACGACTGTAGGTGTAATTTTGGATGTCACTTAAAACCGCAGGTGGTGTATTAGCGTCAAATGCTTGCATAACTTCAAGGAAAGGTCATGTTAACCTGAGCATGCATTATATTAAAATTAGTCAATTGGTTTTCTTTGAAACATAGTCTGTTTATTTGCATTTAAAACTGCAACATTGGTACAATAATTGAAATATGAATAATTTTTCTACATTCATATTGTTTCAACTTTACAAATTTAGTAAAAGTATAAATACATTGCTTTCAAATGTTCGTTGCTCTAGTTTATTTAAAAATTTTCAATAATTATTTCACGATTTTGTAGAAATTTATTTCTCCTCTTACTTTATATTCCTATCTATTGTCTTTTTATAATAGCTACTTATAATACAATTCTGTAGATTACTAGTTACTTACCAGCATTAACGTTTTTTCCCTAATTTTCATGATGGGACTTGTGGCTGAAAATACAGATTGTACTTTAATATCAAGTAATTTAAACAAGATCAAACTCAGGACATCTTTTTTGTCAATATTAGTATGGCTTTTATATAGACGATTCATGTGAGTAAGAATAACAACATAAATTATAATCTTCTTTGAAATTCCAAACGATCATTTTAACATTTTTTGGACTATGTATGCCCAGTGAACTCAGAAGGTAGGTTAACAGATCTACAATGGAAAAAACGCACCTGTTTCAATGTAGCACACACTTCATTTTGTGAGTCAAAGTAAATAAAGAAATTCCTTCTATTTAGAGTATCATAACTTAAAGGTAAATGAAAATAAATAAATAAATAAATAAAATAAATCCGAAAGTTTTCAGATATTATATTACGTATAAAGGTTCGTTTTTTAACATTTTGTGAGTTACCTTTATTTATTAAATATCATGTTCTTCGCACTCAAACCATAAAATTCAGTCCAAGAGCAATATCGCAAAATAATTTTAAAATGAGCATATCTTTAAAATAAAATTTCGGATACAGAGCTTCGCGCGCTGGAGATAAAAATATTTTATTTTCGTACGGTGTTGCCATTGCTCGCTTTGAATACGTTTAGTTTGTTAATTAAAAAATTCATTGAAGTGTTAAAAAATATGAAATCGATAATAAAACAAATTTCAAATTAGAATTAGGTCCACAGAACCATAATCTATGGAAGATTACGTTATTCAAATTTTTATGGCTCTAGGTAACATTGTTTTACCACAATGCGAGAAAGATACATACATTCATGCAGATTCTTCATTATTCAATTTCTTTAAATGTAATGCAGTGCTATAATATTTGTTGACAACAGTTTGAAAAGTGAAACAACGCTTATGGGGAATCAATGCATAGTTAGTTCTTCTGGGCAAATTGCCCTTTCATACGAAAAATAAATGAAAGTTATGCAGCATATAACATCTCTTACTAAGTGGTTACGTTTTAAAAATATTATTTTTATATGAGAGTTTTTGCAACTAACTAATTACATTCCTTTTCTTAATTATATTTAACCACTTGTCTTAATTCCCCCCCCTCAGGTTTTTCAGCATATGACTTCTAATTTATAGTAACAATATAAAGTGTATGCACAACTAGGAAAGTTATTTTTATAAGAAAATATATATTATGGAATATTATAGAAACTGATATGCCTTTTAAAATACAGAATATAATAATATTAATATGTGTTTTTGAATCTACTATGTGTAGCCTTTAAGCGATCTCCTCAGAAATAGTAGACACCGCATATATTTCCCTTCCTGATTTTCATGTGGTAAATTCAGCAGGAAAAGGGGGAACGCGAATGACTAAGGTAAATCTCTTAAAGATTAGTTGTTTATAAAATATTGGAATTATCTCGAATGTTATTAACAAATAATTAATAAATAATAATGCATACTTTTATTGTCTTCATTACTTCTAAACACACTACTTACATTCTAAACATAAAATTAGAATTTTAGTATTATGACATGGTCGAAATCTATTGTTTAAAGAATTTCTTGATTGATTTAAATCTGAAATCGAGGTTTTAATGTATATTTCATACATGAGTTATAAATGTTACTTTGATAACGATAAATTCTCTGCTTAATATTTCAAAGACTTGAAATATATAATTCTACAAGTATATTTTCAACATTGAATTTGATAACTTTCAGAGTTTTGCTAAAAACTCCGTTTTTTTTTAATCAAGGATCCAATTTTTAACGTAATGGTTGACTGATTGGTGTTTCCGTCGTGTCACCTAAACGAGTCACATTAAGAGGTCCTATATTGGAAATTTCTTGGAGCTATAGGTTTCCCTCATATGCTGGCCTAAAACAGTTGCATTAATCGATATAGCTTCTAAAAGATATAGGAAGAATCTTCAGTTTATAACTTCGCCTAAGTTTCTGTATATTTATGTGCTTGATTCAGCACCTTCATAGAAATCAAGCCCCTCATATTGATTCCAAAGCATTACATTATGTAGATAATTTGTAAAATTGTAAAATGAATTAAATTTTAGCCTGATATAATATTCTCATTTCATAAAAACATTCGTTAGAATGTAAATGCATGTACTTTGTTTCAGAATCAGTATTGAAAGCAATTTATTATATGCAGTTTTGAATTCTAACCGATTTCTGATTACAAATATCCTTTTATTAAAGGGCTGTTTATAATTAAAACTTGTTAATATTTAAATTAAAAATTAAATTAATCTATGCATCATTTTAAATGGTATTATTGTAACTGTCAAATGTCTGCATATAAAATATACAATATCATAATGATAATGATGATAAAAATATAATACTAATAATGAGAAAAAGAAGAATATCTTATAATAACTTACTGCTGAGTAGTGGTTGTTTTCGTAACTTTGTGATGATGATGATGCTTTTTAGGTTTGTGAGTATGCGAAGTAGATGTCTGAGTTACTGTGTGATAACTCTGAGGTTGAACAGGCACATTTGAAGTCGTTGTAGTTGTTTTAGTTACCTTATAATGATTTTGAGGGACTTCGAAGTTTACATTTTCGATAGGCAGATTAGAACTTGTAACAGTTGTTTTAGTCATTCCTTGCAAATTTTGAGCATCCATAGGTATATTAGAACTTGTAGTAACTGTTTTAGTCATTGAATACTGATTCTGTAGTTGACTAGCGTCGTCGAGATTTATATTTTCACCCGGGACGTTAGAATTCGTAGTAGTTGTTTTATACATTGTGAAGTGACTTTGAGTAGGTAAATCAAAGTTCATATTTCCTATGGGCACATTAGAATTCGTAGTAGTTGTTTTGGTCACACCAAGAAGATTCTGAACCTCAGAAGGTAGATTAGAGTACGTAACAGTGCCATTAATGCCTCCAAGAAGATTTTGACCATCAAAAGGTAGATTAGAATATCTGATAGTTGTATTAGTCCCTTCAAGGAGACTCTGACCGTCAAAAGGTAGATTAGAATATCTGATAGTTGTATTAGTCCCTCCAAGGAGACTCTGACCGTCAAACGGTAGATTAGAATACCTAATAGTTGTATTAGTTCCCCCAAGCAGGCTTTGGCCGTCAAAAGGTACATTAGAATACATAATAGTAGCATTAGACCCTCCAAGTAGACTCTGGATATCAGAAGGCATATATGTAGTGGTTGCATTAGTGATTTTAATATGACCTTGCAGATTTGTAGGCATTTCAAAATTTAAGCCTTCTATAGGCATATTGGAATTTGAAGTAGTTGTTTTAATCACTCTATATTGATTCTGGGTAGGCATAGCAAAGTTTATAGCATCAAAGGGGATATTAGAACTTGTAGTAGCACCTGCATTCATTCCAATCAGACTTTGAACATCAGTAGGTATATTAGAATTAGTAGTAGTAGTTGTTTTAATCACTTTGAACTGGTTTTCAATAGGCATGTCAAAGTTTATATTTTGGGTAGGAATATTAGAACTTGTAGTAGTTGTTTTAGTCATCCCAAACAGATTTTGACTATCAGCAGGAGTGTTATAATTTGTAGTAGCTGTTGTTTTAATCCCTCCGAGATTACTCTGGGAAGGTACATTGAAGTTTATGTTTCCAACAGGCTCGTTAGAACTTGTTGTAATTGTTTTAGATAATCCGAACAGACCGTGGGCATCAGTAGGCATATTAGAGTCCGTAGTAGTTGTTTCAGTAACAATTGGTTGATTCTGAGCTTCAATAGGCACATTAAAATTTACATTCCCCATAGGCTGTTCAGCACCTGTAGTAATTGTTTTACTAGCTCCAGTCATGGATAGAACATCACTAGGCACATTAAAATTCACATTTCCCGCAGGCTGACCAAAACTTGTAGTGACTGTTTTACTAAACCCAGTCAAACTTTGAATATCACTAGGTGCACTAGAATCCATAGTAGTGATTTTAGTCACTGCACCTAGATTTTTGTCTGTAGCAGACAGATCAAAATTAGCAGTTTTAGTCACATAATAAAGAGGAGCTTCAGTCTTCTTAATCAGACTTTCGTCGACTTCGGCAGATGCAATAGAACCTATAGCCGTCTTATCAGACATTGTTTGATGTGGCATATCCAAGTTTATGTTTCCAGCAGGTAAATTAGAGCTTGAAACAGTTGTTTTAGTTATTCCTAACTGACCTTGAGCATCATCAGGCAAAACCGAATCTCCAACAGTTGTCTGAGTCACTGTTTGCTGATTTTGAATATCACTAAACACATCAGAATTTACAGTTCCGATTGGCACATTGGAGCTACTTGTTGTTGTTCTGGTCATTCCAAACTGACTTTGAACATCAGCAGGTATATTGGAGCTGCTTGTTGTTGTTTTGGTCATTACAAACTGATTTTGAACATCAGTAGGCACATTCAGATTTGTAGTTGTTTCAGTCAATGTGCGAGTATTGTCAACTTGAACAGAAATATCAGGGTTTATATTTCCGATCGGCTGATTGGAATATGCAGTTGTTAAATTTGTGACTTTAAGATGACTTTGTAAATTAGTAGTTGCATCAAGATTTGTATTTCCGATAGGCATGCTAGACCCCGTGGTACTGGTTTTAGTCATTGTACTTGTAACTTCAAAAGGTCCACGATCACTTTGATGTCTGATCAGTAGATCAGGAATCCGAGGCCTGTAATTTGTCTGGGAACATTCCAACACTAAAAAATCAAAATTTGAAAAGTTTAAATGTGAATAAAAGTAGTATTTGAATGCTTAACTTCAAAATAAAAGGGATTCATTAAATTTCGGAAATAAAGCTTGATGTATGCTAAAGGCAAGTTTAAAAAAGAATTTATGTTATCTTCGTTTTTGAACAGTTAATTTCATAGAATATGACTACAAGGTATGACTATTGAACTATTTCTAAAGCCGATATAAGCATACGTAAGTATTTTTTATGATGCAGGAAAGCGTTATTGGTTTTTGCTTCAGGAAAGGGTTTTGAAATTGCACTTCGCAAACGTTTAGCACTTTTTCTCCAGAGACCGACGTTTTCTAAAATTTATTATAACTTATCTTACCTTATAAGCTTCCCACTGTAGTCTTAGCAACAAAAAATGCAACTAAAGCACAATGTTTGTGGTGCTTTTCGACATCATTTCTCTACACATCTAGGGCTGCTCGACTCATTACTGATAAAAACGGAATATTGTGAATTGTAACAACTGTGTATGAAAATTACAGTTTAGTTTGCTTCTACATACGTGTGAGAGAAAGCGTTTTTTCATCAACTTAAGTAAAAACAAAGTACTGAAACTGACTTGATGTCTAAGTGTCGATCTCAGAGTTAAGCTTACAAAGCATACATGCGAACATACAAGTAGAACAATAGTGCGAGAGTTGGTAGCCTTACCAATCTCGTTAATGTGAGTACCAATATTTATTCCATTTTTATTTAAGAAGATAAATTTAATCCGAAGTCTAATAATCCTGAATTATTAAAAACGAATAATACTGTTTTATTAACTTAATTATTAATATCGATGTAAAATCAAATGAATTTTAATTAGCAACAGCAGAATATTTTAAACTATAAAAGTGGTTTCCACTTAACCAAACAAATTTCGGAAACTTTAAGATAAGTTAGAAAGAAAGGTAAACCCCAAATATTTTAGCTACTTTCTGCTAATGGTTAAAAGGATGTTTAATACTAATCGATATGCATGACACTGAATGTTGAAGATGAATTATTTTAATAAAAACTTATTATGTTAAATATTTTTACAAAGGCGTCTATTACTATAACTAATTAGACTAGCACTTTTGGCTTATTATATTAATCCGAATTTAAATGTTTACTATTCCAAAGTTTCGTTTTCTATGTTTTAGGTTAACTTTTAAAAGCATGAATAGCTACTAAATAACCGAGCGTATGAGAGTATCTATACTCCTAAAATACATATCAGCAGTGCATTAATTAAAAACAGTTACACAATATCTAATGTTTATATTCTTATTGAAATTCAGTTATCCAATGCAAGAAATATAGGATGTCTTAGTACGAAATGATGTTAATCTGAGAGACTGAAGCACTGTATAATAAAGCCCGGCTAGATTCGTATCCAGGATATTCACATAAGGTGATTTAAACGAAGCAATGAGAAATGTTATTTTTGCATTCTCTTAACCCTTCTTCTTTACGTTCCTTGCATCTTTTAGGAATAACGTATATATGTGTTTCTCATTTCTTTATGTTTAAATAAAGAAATAAAGGGAAACGTATAGTAATCTTCCACTCTCAGATTCGTTACTAATAAATTTTTTCTTTAAAAACCAAGAAAAATTTAAAGAGTAACAAAAATGTGCTCAGAAAATTATTTTGAAATTTAAAATTAAAACATCATCGTAATAATACATATTATAACAAACTGATCGGCATTTTGTCTTTCGAAAATCATTGGAGCTGTGTTTACATTTCTGCTTAAATATGACTGTAGGCAAAACGTGGGGAGCTTTTTTACCATGAGAAGTCACATTTAAATTAGACAGTGATAAAGGAGGCCGCATAAGTTCAATATACCCATAAATGCGACTTTTGTGAAAGTGTTGTAGTTTTCGTATAGTTTTATCACTTTATTGCATTATTAAGAAATAATACAAAAAACATTAAATCATATACTAAAATAAAAATTTACAGTATAAAACATTTTTTGTATTCACGTATGGCTAATAACTTACCATAATATTAATATTTTTTAATAATCAGTTGCATATATTTAAATACTGTTTCAAATAAAAATAATAAAGTAGAAGTATTTTTCAATAAATTTATTACATTATGAAGGAAAACATTAGAAAAGTAATAATATTAAGATATAAAAGTCAACATAGCAACAGTACGTAAAATAACATTGAAATACGATGAAAAATTTAATTTAGTGATATATTAGCATTTATTCCTTTTGTGACAGTAATTGAATGTTTGGATCAGGCTTCATAAAGCGCAGCCTTAGTAAATCTTCTAAAAAGAACATCTCTAACTTGCGTTCTTAAATTAGTTTTAATTTTTGTCATCAGAGACAATGCTGTTTAGTTGCAGTAAGTACACTGGTGTGCAAAAATTAAGGACGTGACGGTTTTTTCAATATAACTTTCTACAAAAGCTTTCCAAATCAACACATTTAATACCGTAAGATCCCCAATACGTAAGGACATGAGTAATGTAAGCAATACTTACTAAAAGAGAAATCAGAGGGATAAAAAGAAGCTTTATTGAAAAAGTAGCATGTAGCGCTATGCGACTGAAGGCCGAAACATCCCTGTGATGGGTGTCCAGGAAGAAACATCCGGTCTTTAATAGGGGATATGATCTCCCCTGACTGCTAGGCAGGTTCACAGCGTCTGCGCATGCTGAGGATAACGGTGTCAATGAGTTGTTGAGGCATTGCTGCCCATTCGTCTTGCAGCGCCAATCAAAGCTCCGGAATCGTTACTGGTGGTAAGGTACGAGCTGCCAAGCATCTGTCTAGAAAATCTCATACATGCTCGATGGGATTGAGATCCGGAGATCGTGCCGGTCAATCCATATGTTCAATATCCTCACTCTCTAAGAGCTGTTCGGCAGCTACTGTGCGATGACATGGGGCATTGTCGTCCATGAAAAGGAACTGCGGACCCATAGCGCCTCTAAAAAGACGCACATATGGAAGAAGAATCTCGTTACAATAACGGGTCCCGTTGACTGACCTTGCGTCGAAGATGTGAAGGTCTGTACGACTACCAAGCATGATGCCTCCCCAAACAAACGAGAACACCGCCACCTCCATACCTGTCCCTTTCAATGATGTTCGAGGGATGATTACGGCTTCCCCGCTCTCTCCAGATGAGTATGCGATGAGAATCGCTACTCAGACTGAATCTGCTCTCATCTGTAAAGAGTACTCGTCCCCATTCATTGTCTCTCCAATTCCGGTGTTCCCGGCACCACAGAGAACGCCTTCTCCGATGGGCAGGCGTTAGAGGTACACACCATTCAGGGAGTCGTGCAAACAGACCACCACCGTGCAGTCTTCTGGCCACGGTAAAACGCGATATCGGTCGTCCAGTCGCCCGTGTCGTGTGTCTAGCAATTTCTCCCGCTTCTGCTGCCTGTTTCTTCTGGGCTGTAAGGCAATATACCGGTCATCTGCGGGTCTGGTTCCTCGTGGACGACCACTACTAAACCCCCGGATAGCTGTTCCTGTAGTTTGAAATTGTCTCCAAAGTCGTGAAACGATTCTGTGAGCAATTCCGAACTCTGCAGCCACACTTGTCACACTGCGGCCTTCCTCCAACTTCCCAATGATTCGACCTCGAGTAAAAGCATCCAGATGTCGTCTAACAGATTGATTATTCGCCATTTCTCGCTGAGGCAGCAACTCGGTGTGAATTTAACTGCTATACGGTGTGCAATCTCTTTGCCAGAAATACTGATCTTACACCGACAACATGCTTTATACTACAGACACTCCCCCATTACGTCTACCTGCATATCTGCGCATGTGCTACCGTACATCACCTTACTTAATCTAATAATTGGTCTTTCTGTCCGCTCTGCCACTTCGTTCAGCTGATATGCTAATTTTTCGACTTCGTCCTTAATTTTTGCACACCAGTGTACTTCCAAAGCAGGAAAGTAAACAGCGTGCATGATTTCGTAGGCATGAATATTCAACAGCATTTTCCAGACTTTTATGGGATCCTTTTTAGAGTCAAAAACAGATTTGAGGATATTGTTTTCCCTCAACTCACTTTGGCAACTCTTCCCGCAAGTTGGTAATCAAGTTTTTCAGAGTTCAAATGGTTGTTTCCCATTATTTTTAGGATATTTATAATTATGTCCTTCATCCTGTCTACTACAAATACACTAGATAATCCTTAAAGTTCGTATTTTTTAAACATTTTACTCTGCGCCTTTCGTCTGGAATAAATTCCGTGAAATGTGTTACATTGCTATAATATGAACGCGTTGTAATAGAACATTTCTTTTACAGGATAAGATTATATGATAATTATTGCAGTTAAAATAACATATTTTATTCGAATTTAAAATATCGCGATTGTATTACATCTTGTACGATTAATTATGACTTATATGTTTACTAGCAGCTACGCGACCAGCCTTCGTCTGACTTTTAAATGCATCCAAAAAATGCCTGAAGGGAAAACCAAACTTTAAAATTAAAAACTACGCAGAATTTTACTCTACTTTATCAAAACAAACATCTGAAATGTTTCAGACTTTAAATTATGCCCGCAGGGGCATTTTTTAACATTTTCTGTGTTATATTTATTTATTAAATATCAAGTTCTTCGCATTGATACCATCAAATTCAGTTCAACAGCAATATCACAAAATAGTTTTAAAATAAGCATATCTTTAGAATTTACGATACAGAGACTCGCGCGCTGGAGAAAAAAATGTGTTTTCTGTACAACGTTGCCATTGCTCGCTTTGGAAATCTTTGAATTTGTTAATCAAAAATTCGTTAAAGTTCTACAAAATAGGAAATCGATAATAAAACAAATTCAAAATTTCAAATTTGGCCTTCCATATGCCCATATTCATAGGAGGATTACGTCTCATTCAAAATTCGATGGCTCTATGTACCTTTATTTTATCACAATTTAAGAAATATACATACATTTATCCAGATTTTTCATTATTTAATTTCTTTAAATATAACACAGAACGATAATACTTTGTGGCAACAGTTTGAAAAGTGATTCGCTGTTTGTAGTCAATCGATGCAAAATCGCAAAACGAAAACAGTAGTCCTTCATGGACCCCTTTGGACTTAGAAAAAGAAAAACCATAAATTAAAAAGAAAACTGTGTTGCATATAACAAAATTACAATGAAATAAGCAATATCCTTTAGTATAAATATTAAGCATCCTAATAAATAAATAAACACACAAATTATGCAAAATTTTTTATATAATTAAAATTACATATAATTAAAACATAATATAAAAATTACAATGAAATAAGAAATAAATCTCATATTTCCAAGAAAAAACAATCATCAGTCCAGTATCCAAAGCAATGAATAAAAAACTGTTGCCAAAACCACATTTCTAAAAGAATGAAATTATCATCAGAAAGCAATAACTAATCCAAATTGTGCTTTGTGGATGACATAATTCAAAATATAGAAACCCCTTTGCCATTAGCTAATAAAGAGAGAGGGGGGAAAGGAAATTCTTTTCTGTTTTGCCACGCGAGACACACTGGGTGTCAGAATAAGAAGATTGCGATGTGCATGTTGCGCGTCCAAAAATCAAAAGAAAAAAGCAGCATTTTTATCTCATATGTTCAACAGTCAGCAGTCCTGTATACAAAGCATTGAATGGAAAACTGTTGCCAAAACCACATTTCTAAAGGAATGAAGCTATTCAAAATGATGCGATAAAATCGAAAAGATAAAATATAATGATCTCATTCGAATTTTGAAAGACTCGCTTCGAGGTGCAATGGCTCTTGTCTAGATGCACCTGTGTATCAAATTTCGTAGCCGTGGGTCTATTAGCGCAGCACGAATGAAAGACACACAGACTCTTTCTTTCATTATATGTAGAGATAATAAGCATTTCTATTAGTTGTTGTGCGAAAATTTTGTTTTCGTTTGGTAAACTTGTCGAAAATTCTCATTTCACTCATGGAGCTTCACATCAGCTTGACACTTATATCGAACATCTTGCGTTTTTGAACAGTGCATCACGTGGTGAATTTAGTTTTCTATTTTTAGCCTTTTTTATCATAGGCTTTATTATTATCCAACAAAAGTCTAAATTAATACACGATACTTCCCTCTTCCTATTTTTGCGTAACAGAAATAATAAGTATTAAAATTACTTCCATTATGAAATGTTTTTTAAATTTAACTAAATAATGGTAAAGAATTTCATAAATGCTTAAAATAGCTTACCCCTTGTAGTATGTCTAGGTTCCACTGACTGCACTGTAAGCAGAATAACTGCTATAAAAAGACATGGTACTGCGATCTTCATGATTAAATACCCTGCAAAGTAAACAAATTGAAGTGAAAAGAATGAAGACATATTAATATACATGACATATATGAGAATGAAGACATACATAAGAAGCAGAAAAGCAGGACATATTTCCTAATTATAGTTTAAATTCCTTGATCTGGGTATCGGTTTTCTTATTATTTCCTCAAGAAATATCTATATTTGTCTGTCATTTAACCCTTTGCGGCACAGTGTGTCCGGTCTGGACACACCTAAAATTTTCCTTCTGTACGCACAGAAAAATTGAATGAAAAACGATTTATAGGCTACTATACTCTGAACTTACTCTGAACCTTCTGTACTTATAGTAGATGGCAGCACAACACAAACCAGTCCATATATTTTAGCCATGTTTAGTTTTTTAAGACCCTCATTTTTCAAAGAAATCTTCCAGATTTTTTAGGGTATAAAAGGAATTGTTTGAAAAGAAATTTCTATGTTACTTTTTGCTGTATGCTAATCTCCTTATTCTATATTAGTTTTAAATTTTTACCTTGAAATCTTGCCTAAAATCAAACGGCGAACCCTAGGTTTGCCCAGACCGGGCTCACCGATAATTTAGAACAACTGAGAGTCTGTATTTTTTGTTTCTCCGCATCTCATCGGTCAGTACATTCACAACAATGCTCGTTTCAGCACTCGTTTTGAAGCTGTATTCAATCAGTGTACCACTTTGGGCACAACCACAGAATTAAAACGATAAGTGCAACCTTCACAAAATTTTACTTGTGTACTCCTCTAGCCCTAATTAGACTGCCTGCGTTTTTTTAAATGAAAACTCCGAATTTAAAAGGTAGCATGTCGGAAAGGGTTAAATTAATTTAGCTTTTAACTATGATTGCATACCAATCGTAATTATAAAATAACATTACACAAGCTGCAAAAATTTGAGTTTCACATGTTGCAGAATTTCATAGCAATTATATTCTCATACTAGGGTTTGTGAGCAGCTATTCTAAGAAAAATAATAAATATGAAACGAAGAATTTTTACGTCTTTGTAAATGTTCTGCGTTGCAAGAATAATATAATGAAAGGGTCTTATTTCCCAGTTTCTTAATGTATATTAATGAGTACCTTTAAAACAAGTATCGAATATGATATATTGAATATGACTCTAAGAATTAAGTTACTATGCGTAATTTCATAGTATAACTTCAGCTCTGACTCGAAAGCACGAACACTTCAATTAGAGGCGCTTATATTACCTTTGAGATATCACAGTCGCTAGCCATTATATTTTAGTTTGTACTTGAACAATCGATGAACAAGATATTATTCTCCAATATGTTTACCTATTCTGCAAAATACTTCTGGCACTTGTTTTGTGGGAAGACGGTTCAATTTCCTGTGAAGATTAAGTAATGATCTTTAGGTGTGAAATTTTAGAAACATACATTTTTAAAATAGATTTATTCGACTTATGACATTGCACTTATAAATCACATTTATAACTACATAGTAATCAAATAAATTATGAACGGCAATTCGTTTGAGTTAAGCGCCAATCGCTATTCATAAAGAATAAGGGATTAATTAACAGATATAACAAGGGCACATAATGTTAATAATTGATACACTATAATATATTCCTTGGCTACAGACTCAAATAAAGTGGATAAATAAATTTTCAATCTATTATTTCAATTTTAAATAATAGAATCTTACTTTTATAAGCTAATCAGAATTCTATAAATGAAACTACTGGTTAATTACAGTAAAGTACATTGGTTTGGTTTATTTTGTTTATTATGGCAAAGCACACTTTGGCTCTCTGTTTAAGGGGAGGGATATCTTTGTGGAGGACTTCTAATGAAACTGTCTCGCGCATCCTTTATACATGGGGAAAATCACGAAAACGACCGTACAGCCAGACCATTCCCCAGGATTCGAACCGCGGACAAAACTAACATTGTTTGGCAAATTTACCGCTCGGTAACTCGTGGACCATGTACACAGGGACTACCTAATTTAGGAGAGATGAGTCCTAAGGGAAAATGGTCATTTCTAAGGAAAAGTGATTCCCATGGATAAGACACGTAATTGAAAGAATTACAAAATATTCAGATTTATTATTATTTATGATGATGCTGGCTATTTGGCCATTAGTGGGTTGACATATTATTGAAGCAACGAGACCTCCATCGATAAATATTTCAAAACTGGTATAAACTCTTCTGTTAAAATTAATACAAAATTCACATTTAATCAGTTATTTTCCTCCTTAACTCTAATTATTGAAGTAAGATGCATGTACATGAGTTTATATTTATGTCTTTCAAGTAATTTAGCTATTATGAACTAATTTCAAGCAATTAGTTCATAATATAAATACGTGGCTGCGTCCATTACTTAATTTTATATGCTATGACATGCATGTACACTGCTCCTCAGAATGAAAGGATATTGAAAGGCATATCTATCACCTGTAGAAAAAAAAAATTAAAACGATTTATGCATAAGCATTTTTAAAAATAATTTACCATGTTCGCCAGTTGATTAAAGTAAAAATATATAATATAAATTTATTTTTATAGAAATTTTAAAATTATGTAAAATTTATCTTTTCTGTTTACCCCTACTTATCTATCTTATCTTCCCTGTAAATATTTATTTAATATGATACATGATAATCTCTGGAAACATGCAAATCGCACATCTTGATGCCATAAATATTACCGAATTGTTGATCAAGTCTTGTGCATGCCATTCTTCTGAAAATGCGTTTAGGTATGGAGAGAGAAGGCAGATAATAGAAGCGCTATAGCTCATCGGTATGAGACACCCCAGGCATGCCAAATCACGTTCAAGTCCGTTTGGTAAGCCAGCTAATCCATTGGACAGATAGTTACTATTTTCTATTACTCTGACGTCAAAGGTGCTCGATACCCATGACTATTATAGCAAAATATCCGAATCAAAAGCTCTAAATGAAATTCCAAGACTTCGTCTATATATTTGTGACCTGTTACAAAACTTCCATCAAAGCTATACAGCTATTTGCCGCTAATTATTAGAATTTCTTGCCAAGCTATGAAAGGATTCCTCAGAAAAAAGGATCGTTTATGAACTGGGGAAGGCAAGTTGCGTGCTCCTCACTTCCATCAAACTGAGGCACATATAGAACCCCAGTTCCTCTGTATTGACCAGTAAACGTTTACTCATTCCTCTTGGATACATGAGCATGAGCACGAAACCACATGAACGAAAACCTTGGAAAATCGGACACACAATCGGGAAACTTTGAAAGAAAATATGAGTGAGACACCAACTATTGGTTTTCTTGCATAAATTCCAACCGCAAGAAATCTTCGTGGAGAAATACAATATATGATTCGATCTTGTGTGGCTACCTGACGGTCTAAAACATGCTTTCGTGTAATCGCTTTACAGATTCTTCGAGTCTACAATGAAAGGAAACGGTCTTCGGATACAGTTGTTGCTCTTGGCCAGGCTGTCTAGTAATTGAATGTACTTAAAAAGCCCTTCCAGAGAATGGAATTACCCTTTGAAGGACATTTAGATACTGGATAAACTTCTATTTGTATTTGCCTCCCGCTCTCGAGTCCAGCAATTAGCCGCGCCTTATGCTCAGCATTTTACTGACGCTTTTGAATCGTAGTTACTAAATACTGATAACTCTTAGAACTACACTAACTTTAAGAGCAGTACAAACACCTGAATTTCAACATGCGGCTATAGGACATAAATTTTCAATCGCCTAATTTGCAAATTTCGTACGCTATCTATGCGCAGAAGTTGAATTTAGTGTTCAGTTGCACATAATGAAGAGAAATAATTGCTTTTCGAGCATTTATTGAAAACTCTAATCAGTGAGCATATTTTATTCAGCTTATCCTTTAATTTGACGAGCAGTACATATTAATTGGCAGCTATTACTTCTAGTTTTCTGCTTCATATATTTATTTAAGTAATTGTATACACCTTAAATTTAATTATTATGCCGAAATTAGCAGAATAAAGACTAAATAGCAAATTTATTGTTCAGGTTGGAAGAAAACCTTCATTTTTTTAAATAAATTTTAATCTGAAAATAAGATACTACATTTAACACTATTTTAGAATAAAAGTAATATATTCTTGTATTTTAGTGCGCATCTAATTGATTTCACTATTTATCTCACTATCTTTCTGATCACTAGTTTACTAGATTAGTAAACTGATGATTATTATCTTTTACTCCTTTGAATATCTAGGGGAAAATTATTTACTTTTTCCCCTAGAAATGTTTTTTCGTAAATAAGGGAAACTGAAGGTAAAAAAAAATGAAAAATCTAAGATTTATAGAAAGAAATATCCCTCCTCACGCAAGTTGAAATTTTAAGTATAGTTTCGCAGTTATTGATGAAATAGTGCTCTTAATTACAAAATCGTAAAATTAGTGAAATCTCATATCCTGCAGTGTATTTCAGTTGTACGCTTACAAACAAATTTAATCAAACTTTTTATGATTAGCTGCATCCAGTATTGTGACAATAGGAATCTATTTTAAGCTTTTGACGAAATCTAACGCAATTTGTTATTTGGATAACAAGAAAATTGCTGTGCTGTTAGCCGAGCTCATATGCGCAATCAGCATAAAGAACTGCAAGTGAAACTATGCGTCAGTTACGTTGATGAACATGAATACAAAACATACGTTTCAATATTAACACGATTTCCATGATCTCCTGACCGTTGGCTGCATTTTTAGTTCTCGTACTGACAAGAATGTGTGTATTTTCATCCAAAATTTTGCAAAGGTTTAAGCAAATATTAGTTAGAAACAAATTGTAAACTTACACTCGCTAACCCTTTTATTCTTACTTAATGAATTACAGCAACGAATTCGATAGTTGATTGCTCCAATGAGGAAGATTTTGTAAGGAAGTTTGTAAGGAAAATGAGTTCTTCGTCATTGGAAAATACGTGATAATTCTTGAGATGCAAACTCTCAGCCCGAAATTTCGCTTTTCGACTCTACATTTAAAACTGTGACAGTTCATAAACAAGGTAAAAATAACAATGTTTTTAAATAACAACTAAATATTAGTAGTTGGTGATTTTAGAGATGCAAAACATTCCTTGAAATTCAAGCATTGAAATTATCTTATTACTTAGAATATCTTTACACTTTACCATAATAATTAATGCAGAAACCTTACCTTTACTCCTCTAATACATCGAAGTGTCTACCTTATTTTCAGACTTCAGTTATATATACATGTCTCATAAGCTTTTTATTTGGCCAGATACCAATGATTATAGAAGAAACAGACAGAACAAACATGCTACAAAATTAAGCATGGAATTTAAAAATACTTTTCTATAAAACGTGGTGTTTTTTCTGTGGTGTGTTTACAATGTCAATATGAAACATCTTTTAAAGTATTACTTAGTATTTGGTTAGTAAATTGGAATCGGCATGTGTATGTAAATGCAAATTAAAATATTCGAAGACGAACAAAGTTCCAGATGGTTCTAATAGCAGGAAATAGTAAACTTATCTGCTAAAACATGAAATTGACAATAAATACAGCTATGGAAAGAAGGAGAAACTCTTTATCTTCTTGACATAAAAACGCCGAAACCTTTTGACTTCTTGCCATAAAAACAATAAAATTGACAGTGTTGTAACAAATATAGTTTTCATTAACTGGAGTAATTTTAATCTGAAGTAAAAATTTGCAGATTTAAAATATTCACTTTTTATTAAACTTTAATACCTAAGCCTATTCTAAACCAATGGCTTTTGTTAATGTTAGACTGTACCAGGCGAGATATCGCAGATGAAGAGCTTCACCCGCTTCTAGTAGGTCACAAATGTAAGTAGCAATAACAAAATAATATTCTTGGTAACTGAGGATTGGTGTTTATAAGACCGAGAATATTAACACTTTGATCACCTTGTGCTGTGCAGAAAAGAGTTGGGACCACAAGAGTAAGGGGACCACAAGGGACTTACAGAAGACTACAAGGGTAAGTAATAATAACAGAATAATATTCTTGGTGATAAGACTGATAATATTAACAGTATGATCGCTTTGTGCCTTGCAGAAAAGAATTGAGGTACACTCATCATCTCATCCAAAGCGTTCAGTACATTAGAATGTACATTAGAATGTTCAGTACATTAGAATGCTAGATTGTGCATCTTGATGCTAAAATATACCCATACTAGACCACACGATTAAGAAAATGCTTCGAACTAAAATTCATGTTAGAATGTTTCAATGCTTTCTTCTAACTGCTAGGTTTAATAAAAACTAAAAAATTGCTGACAGAAATAACAGTGTAGCTAGCGTAGCCGTATAGCAAGACGACAAGACGTCTTCTTCTTATAGCTACCAGC